GTCTTACTTCATTCCGGAGATGATCCCAAAGCGCCAATCGACTTGGTCGGTCTCGTATCCTTACGATCGAGCTACCCGGGGCGTAAGGCACAAGTCCGGGGAAATCGCCGATATCAGCTTAGTGATCATGGCGGAAGACGCAAGGTACGAGGCCTCTCGAGACGAGCTCGATCAAGTCGTTGGTCATGTGTTCTTGCAAACATATCACAACTGGGAAGGTGCCGCAAACTATAGGACAGGAGAGAAACGCTTCACCGAACGAGACTAGAAACTTTCGACTGAATTGTACGACTGTCAGAGATGTTGCAAGCTACCCGCTTAACGAGGACTCCATCGTCTACTGACCCGTCGTCACATATCCGGCTGAATTCTCATAGGGAACCGCAAGCTGCTGGGCTAAGACATTCAGTGAGCACCAAACGCAGTGATGCCTAAACCTTCACCTCAAATAGCTGGTTTGAAGGTAAAATGAAGGGAATGATGACCCGATGTGGGTATTGGGGGCCGACAGCACGAAAAGGGGAATTGTTGCGCCAGTCCATTCCGACCACCTGCCTGATCAACTCCACTGTACGACCTCACCCCGCGAGCAAGTGGATACGAAACGAGGCGTGCTTTCTCAACTGTCATCGATGTCTTACACCCCAAACCACCACGATCCACAATCTCCACCTACGCCCCGTCCCACCTGAACCCTGAACAAGCAATCAACATCAAAGACTCGAATTGTATACGAGAATCTGAGCCTCCCAACGACGATCTCAATCTCAGTACCGCAAAGATCCTCGCTACGACCATGACGCCCCATTACGTCGCGCCTTACCATAGTGCATACGGCCCGGATGCAAGACCCCTTGACGCCGGTGACGAAGAAGTAAGACACAGAGGATACGGATAGCATCATCATACAGTATCCATAGGGAGTATGGGATGCCTGAACAGCAGACAGATGAATATATAAGGAGGTAGCTTGTAGCAAGTAGAGCACCATCATCACACATCAACAAGTTCTTCAATCATCACACATACACTACGAGTCTTCTATCTCAACGTTCAACGAACAACACCTCACTCTCAATCACTATGTACTTCTCCAAGATCGCCATCCTCGCCGCTGCCACCATGGCCAGCACTGTCGTCGCGGACAACTGTTTCGCAGGGTACGCGTACTGCGAGGGTAACCTTTTGACTCAGGGTTTGTCTTTCCTTCCCCATCCTATTTCTATCCCCTTTCCCCTCCCCTTCCCCTCCTCCAGTCCTCCAGTCCCCATCTAACACAACCCAGGCGACTACGCCTCAACCATCTACCAAGTCCTCGACGCAGCAGGCCAACCCACCGACGCCAACGCGCGCGCCAAAGCCCTGTTCAACTGCGTCAACGGCGGGGCTATCCAGTTCATCACGCTTTGTGGCGGAGACTGCAAGAACGAGCCTTTTGGTAGCCAGGTTAGTGATCATTGCTAGATCACTGCTCTTGAGCAGAGCGGATATGTGAGCAAAAGTTGGGTATGAAGGCAGATGGAGGATGGGGAGACGGAAAGGAGGGAAGGAAGGGAGATGGATAGGTGGAGAAGGTGGAAGAGATTGACTAGAATAGAATCATACACTCGTTTCTCTATCTCTGTGCAACAGCCATCGTATCAGTCATCTTGCGTGTGTATATTCATCGAGGTATGCAGCTTCAACTTTTGTCGTACATGAAACGAGTCGTCCGCACCATTATCCTCCATTCATCCTGCCCAGAGAATGTAAACACAAACAAAGTCTACGTAAAGCATAAGAGCATAGCTTCAAAGAGCTGAACAGCAGAAAAACCCACCAGCGCCAAAACAGTAAACAGACATCCACCCCGTACCCTTTTTTGCTAACCCATTTGAACGCCACAGCGCTCATCATACATCTCATTCACACGACTTATCCACTAAGAAGGTCCTTAACACTCATACCCCTAGCCCCACTCCAGCTACGACGGTCGGTATTCAACATCATCAAAGCCTCAGTAGCTTCCTGGTCCTCACGATCAGCCTGCGGTTTCAACGCCGGTGACGTCAACGCGAAATGGACAGAGCCATGCGACGAGCCAGGCGCAGCTACAGGGCCAGTACTAGGAGGGCCGTTGTGGAAGGGGTTGCTGAAATGTGCCGCAGAAGGTGTGTGAGCGCTGAACGCAGGCGAAGGGTGGATCGAAGGCGAAGTTACAGTGGAGCGAACTGACGCTGGCCCGAGCGAGTAGTGGTGTGGGTCGGACGGGCGCAGCGCGGGGGAGGGGTTCGCCGAGTAGTGGCCGTTGCGATGATCGTGGGGCATGATGGCTGGGGATGTGGTGGTGGAGTGGGTGTATACGCTTCGGTCGGAGGGGTAGATGGCGGGTGAGGCTTGGGCGAAGGTGTATTTGGATTGGGCGGGTGGTGGCTCGACGTAGGTGGGTGACACGGCGTCTTCCATCTCTTCGTCTTGCTCTTCGTCTTCGTCGTCGTCGTCGTGCATGCGTCGGACTGGTGGTGGTGGGAGCTCGGATGTAGCTGAGGATGGGGAGTCGCGGCGGGAGTTGGCGGTCTTGAGGTCGGAGACGCACTGCTCGAGGTAGCGCATGTACTCGATGGATGCCTGGGTGTGTTAGTATACGAATGTGTTGTAGGTGAGTGTCGGGAAGTACCTGTAGAATGGCCAGCTTGTGCATCTCTTGTCCCCTGCACGCCGGAATCATGTCCTTGAGTACCCCAAACTCCTCGTTCATCTTGGACCTTCTCCTCCGCTCGATCAGACTGTGTGCCGTCTTCCTTGCAATCTTACGTCCCGCAGCAGTGGCGTTACCCGCCTGCTTCCTTTTGGTCCCATTAGTGGCAGCGGTCGTGGTCTTCGCATCCTGTGCTTTGGACGAGGTCTTGGGCGTTTCTTGGGTATCCTTTGGCTTCATCTGAATGATCTTGCGGGATCGGGTAGGCGGCGGCGGGAGAGAATAGTCGTCCTTGGTGATGATGCTCTGCTGGGAGCGTTTGCGCGCATGACCGGGCTTGGAAGTCGCGACTGGGGACGACGGGGAAGGTGGCCGGTAGGACGAGTCTGAGGCATTTTCGGATTTACCAGAGGAGCTAGCTACACTTCCTCTACCACCCAGAGCTGCGGGTGGCAAGTTGAAGCTCGTCTCCAATTGAGGGGCATTGGCGCTGCTCTTGCCGGTAATGTCTGTCGACGGCTGGGGAGTCGGAGGGAGGTTTGGGCGAGGCATGATGGGAGTAAAGGCGCTCATAGAACGTCTTCAGCCAGTGTCCCGCGCGTAGAATAAGTCAGAGAGCGACAAAGAGGGGATAAAGGGACGGCAGAGACAATGTATGGCGTGCATTATCAGCATCGGGGTGTCGCGTGGGCTCTTTTGTGTCGCAGCGCTGGGAGAAGGATCCCGTGGGTGTCCTGCGCTCCCATGATTGGCTGGCCGGCCAAGATACCTCAGGAAATGGCGCCAGTCCATCGCGCCTCCTATGAGAACGTCACCCTGGGAGCGTGGGCGTCGCGGCCGCTGTAGGCCTCTGCGAAGCTGCAGCTGCTTGAACGAGTGGGCCGGCCATCGCGTTGGGAGTAACCGTGGCGAACGCTGTTAAGGTCCAAATAGAGCACGTGCTCGTCTTTCTTCCTCTCCGCCGGGCGTCGATATAGCAGTCGAGGGGTTTACCCGCAGGCGCAGAGCGAAAAGGGCCGAAGCAAGGCTATGGATCGCGTTAGGCGGCTGGGATATTGATGGAGCAGTAGATCGTGGGTATTTGTATGGTGTGGCATGTGTGCATGTGAAGACGGCAATAAGCTATCGAACCCTTATTCTGCACTCGCGATCATGCCCCACCATTATGAGAACATGGTATAGCTCGTCTTCGTTGAGACGCTGCAGCACACTTGCTAGGTACAAAGGCCTAGCGGATGGGCTGCCCAGTTCACCCTTGAGGTTCTGCAATCGACAGCTGTCCAAAACTTCCCTGTTCCGGATGTGTTCACGTTCTACAGGCAGGGTTAAGTGAAAAGCAGAAGATGCGGGAGAGTGAACAAGAAATCACCGTAATCCACGGGTTTACTAGTTGCGTCTTCGGGCTATCATCTTTACGTATTTGAGACGGTAGATGCTTACATCTCTTCACTACATGTATCTGAAGCGGATTCAGTTTGACGTCATCTGTCAGCTGCAACTCAGCTTGAACTCATTGACTGTGATAAACCCTACCGTCTTCGATGGCTTCCAGGACTTGCCTATCTGGGATGGCGGGCTTGGCGTCTAATAAGGGGCAAGCGCAATATTCCGACCCCACTAGTCAGGCGCCCTCGACAGACCACGCGACACCAGATCACCATCCTCCATCTAAGCCATGACTGCTGCGTAACTTTCCTGCGCATCCATCTCCGCACGAGACCAACTGGCGGTGTTACTTCGACCGTTTCGCCCAGTATCGATCATCTGCTGTTCACGATGCGCGAACGTCTCCGCCCGGACTACCTAGGTACTCTACCTAGCTGCTAAGTTCATTGCAGTCCGAACTAGCTGCATCGTCGTACTCGCGCATCATACTCAAGTTCGTCTCTTTGTTCTCATCGCTTTATCATGGAAACATTATACCTGGAAGAGGTCTGTATCGTTTTAGATGCCTCCATACTGCATTCCAATGGTGCGCGCCGTGGTTCACACAGCTACAAGCAAGCGTCAGTCCTGGCGAGTACCTTTAGAGGATACTTTATGTCAGGTACAAACTAGAACAGTAAGATATGTGGAGTTTCACAGGCAGCTGCGACCATTAGCCTGCCTTGGGTGAGACTTCTTGCCGGCATGAGCCTCAACCGCACCGCGTGACCTCGCACTGTAAGGTACACACGACACATACCCACGAAGACCCCAGCACGAGCTGCAGTCACATCGCCAGTGCAGATGTTCGGCGCTATTCGTCATCCAAACAGATCGTTTATTCCTATCACTATCAGCCACGTCGCATCCGATTCAACAAACTCCACATTCTCTCATTATGGCAAATCCTTTCGGACCTTTCCGGCCCGCGTCACCTGCCGAGGACCTGCCCCCATACTACCAAGACACAGGCAACGACGATATTCGACAATGCTTCCGTAACTTCGATTCGGACCGGAACTTCGACCTATTCGACCGGCAAACAAGAGAGCACAGATGCCGCAATTTCTGTATCGACTTTGGAGAAGATGAAGGTGATGCCTTTTGCGCTTTCGATCTCAACGCCGAAGCGTACAAGAAGTTGCTGCAATCGCCACGACCGACTGAACTACATACGCGATGGATCAACATCTGGAATCCCTCCAATCAGAAAGAGCTGATCAGAACGCTGGCCTCTCACTTCGACTTCACGCCTAGACTGCTGGGCATGATGACGAGCGACCACGTTCCGCCACGTAACAACCCATCCTTGCGCATGAAGAAGAGTTCTTCGACCCTAAGATCAGTGTTCTCCCACAAATCACACACATCGAACATGTCCAATTCGATCAGGGAAAAGGCGAAGCAAGCGAATGAACAAGCTCTGGATTCAGAATCCAGTATCGGTCTCACCGAATTGATGCAATCTACACAGCTGGAGCTGGTCCGAGATTTGGATCACTACCAGCTAGTAGACGATGTATGGCATTGGAGTACCGTCGATCAGGGTCGGAGATGCAAGTTACCCTTTGCTTAACAAGAGACATAAGCCCTATATGAAAACCTCTGCTGACAGTAAAACAGACATGGGCATAGGCTACAACTCGCTACACAACGTCCGCAGCAAAGAAACCAACACCCGCCCTATAATCTCGGATAGAACCCGAGACGTGCCCCACGGCAAACGCGTATGGAACTGGCTTCTCTTATGCGAGGACAAAACCGTCATCTCGATCTCCGAAGACCCATTCCCGTTCGCCAACGGTCCTTTGACCCACGAAGACGTAAAAGTACTCTTCACAACACGTCGGAATACTGTGAACGTCTTCAGACAACTCACGAAAGCGCCGACGCCACTTAGAGAAGCAGCGCTCACTCAACTACCCATCCGCCAACGTCTCGGCAGCAGCGATGAGGAAACAGCCCACCGTCCCACGGATGCTCCAGGCCTATTGTTCTATTACCTCTTTGAAGACTGGGGCGCAACCTTCGATCTCATCTCCCGCCGCGAACACGGCTACGCCGCCGAGCTCGACCGACTCCGACAAGAAATGCTCCAAACAGCCAACCTCACGCACGTCGACCAACTCCACCACATCGGCTGCCAACTGGCCGTTCTAAAGCGCGTCTACCAAAGCTACGAATTAATCATCGAGCGCGTCCTCAAAAAGCAAGAAGCCACCCTCGCGTCACTTAAGAACTCGCACATTCTCTCCGGCAACGCCTCCCTCATCTCCTCCCACCCCGTCATCAACGACTCTCCCGGCCCCCTCGTCCCCGAAGCCGACAGCCTCCTCGGCGTAGCCCTCAGCTCCGCCGCGCGCGTCCGCTTCGAACGCCTCAAAGACCGCATCCAACTCTACGCCCTCTCCGAGATATCCGAATGCCTCGACCAAAAAGAGTCCCTCGTAATGATGAACTTCAACCTCATCGCCATCAAAGAATCCTTCTCGGTCGAGCGCCTCACCTGGGTTACTCTGCTGCTTGCTAAGATTACCATCTTGTTCACGCCTGTGACGCTGATGACGGGGTATTTTAGCATTCAGTTCAAGGGGCTGGAGTTTGAGGTGGGCAGTTATTGGCGGGCGTTTGGGTGGACGTTTGGGTTGAGTGCTGCGTTGCTTGTGTTGTTTAGTTGGGTGAGTGGGACGTTTGAGGGGAAGATTATTACGAGGAGTTGGACGCGGGCGGTTTATGATGTTGCGCATAGGTGGGTTGTTGGGAGGAGGAAGAGGGGGAAGATGCTTTGATGGGAGGTGGGTAGGGGTAGGGTGTTGGAAAGGTGGGTGGTGGATCTATGGGCTGTTAGATCCATGGGATGGGAAGAAAGTGGAGGCTGTTGCGCCAAACAGGTCATGCAATGGAATTCACATGGCTGCTCGTCGTATCTCGCGTCACGAAGCTTCTCTCGATGAACAAACTTACAAGTTTGTCTTTTACGCTCATCCGTTGTCATTCTTTGTGACCAATCTCAGAACATAAGCGATGAATCAATGATGAGCTGTCCTTCTCGCAATACATAAGAAGCCCTTTGCAAAGTAGTCGTCCAACACACACCACACATCTCCGCCACCATGAGCAAAGCCCAGTACACCAAGACCCTATGGCAGAAAGAGATGAAGGACCAGATCCTATGTATGCCCCCTCTAAATAACCCCCCAATCCCGTCTGCCCGTCTGCCCATCTGCTAACTCATCACTGTTATCCAGCCCACGTCCGCGCCGTATTCACCAACCAAGTCCACCCAGACTCCACATTCGACGTTGTGTCAAGCGTGTGCGATTTCAGGAAGGGAAATGCAAGGCGCCGCGACGGCTATATAGCACATGTTATTGTCTACGAACGTCCGCACGAGAAGGAATGGAAGATACTTGCGTCTAGTAAGCCGAAAGCTACTGGCGTGGAGGTCTATGAGAGTCTCCTAGAGGAGTTGCAATTTCATTTGTCGGGGCTGATGGATGAGTTTGGAGAATGACCATGCAGTAGGATGCAACTGATTTGTTGGTTTGAGAAAAGAGTCTACGTCGTCGATGGAGAACTTGGAGGGAGAGGATGCGTAGGGCTTTGCGCTTTGGGTAGGATCTCTTAATGCGGAAAGGGGGAGGTAATGGGTGGTGGATGTTTGGGCTGTTAGATCTAGAGGATGGAAAGAACCCGAGTTCCAGTTTAGAGGTGATTGCTGTTGCTCTTCGTGACCTATCCCATGACACACAAGACTCATTTGTTACAAGCCGTCCCCCCAGCCATAAATAAGAAGCTACCTGGGCATTTTCGAGAACTCCTTTCCACATCACATCTCACAGTAGCAATGGCACCAGCGTCGTACGAAGTCATCATCTGGGAGAACGAGTTGAAGAAGAAAATCATATCTCACGCACGCGCCGTGTTCATTGACCAGGTCCGCCCCGGCATCGTATTCGACGTCGTGACCACTAAGATTGATCTCATTAACGAGGATCAAAGATACAATGGCTATGTCGTACATGTCATCGCGTTGGACGAGTTGTCGCTCACAGACAAATGGCAAATCGTTCTGTGTGCTGACAGGAAGTCGACTGAGAAGGAAGGCTTGGAGGAACTTATGAGGAAACTGCAAACGAGGCTTTCGGATATGATAAGTAAGCTATACTGCGGCCTTTGAAGGGCACTGTGCTGACGTAGCGTGAATCATGTAGTACCTAAGCCGCCTGTGCCGGTGCCGGAGAGGGAGGTGTAGGACATGCGACCGCTATACTGTGTATTGTACTCTCGAACGGCTGCGCAGGTGAACAAGGACGATTGTTTTTCCCACGACCCTCACTTTGAGGTGTTGCGAGACACTAATCGTACATGCTAGAAACGTATATTAATTATCATGGGCCGCTTGCTACATGGCTAAACAGGCACTATTTGCGAACAGTAGCGAATATATCTCGTGCGGTATTCTCCGAACACACTTCATACCACAGCTTCAACTGCTTTACTCACCTGTCTCGACCCTTTCTGGCACATACCACCGTTCCTCCACTGATACACGATCTTATCAACATGTCCATGTCGAAGTACGACACCATCTTGTGGGAGAGAGAAATGAAGAACCAAATCAAATGTACGTACTCCCAGCCCCCAACCCCCAGTCATCCCTTACCCCATATGTCAATGAAAGCTGCTAACGCCATTCCGCCACAAAGCCCACGCCCGCGCCGAATGCACCGTCTACCGCTACGGCTCAGAATACGATGTTATCCACACATATTCCAGAGAGGAAAAAGACAAGGAAAAGCCCTACAGCATTCACCTGATCGTGTACGAGTGGCCGCACAAGAGCAACGAGTGGGAACGAGCTTGTTCTGTCGACGGCAACGTTGATGTTGCGGAGGGATTGAGTCGTCTTTTGGAGTCGCTGAGAGTGGGACTAAAACGGACGATTGATAAGCCGAAGAGTAAGCCAGGGACTTCGGGCAAGAATGATGACGTTGAGAATGCGACAAAGGGCAGCAGGAGGAAAGATTTAGATTCTTATCGCCCAGGGAAGAGACGTCGTACTCGTAGTCGTAGTCGTCGCCGTAGTCGTAGTCGCGATCGTGGTGGTAGTCGTAGTCATGGTCGTGGTCGTGGTCGTAGCCGCAGTCCGGATCGTAGTCGTAGTCACTGATGAATGTCCGTTTTCGCGCCGTGCAATGGATATGTTTTCTAAGATGACCACGGCTTGATGACGGCATTGGAGATGGGCTTTCGAGTGTTTGTTACTGCCGAATGTGGGCTACCTAGGTAGCTGAGTACCCAAGCGCGGACGCGACGGTTAGTCCGAAGTCGCGCTCTGCACAGTAGCTAAATAGGAAACATCTCGCGCATCCTACTATCTTCTACCCCACTTCAGATTGGCTACTATCAGCGATGGCTCATTCTGCGACCGAAAAGGTTAAATCTATGAACCAGTACGAGACCATGATGTGGGAAACGGAGATCAAGGAACAGATCTTGTGTATGCATTCACAATTTACTATTTACGCTGTGTAATTACTAAATCAATACTCAATTTACAGCTCATGCACGCGCTCTCTATGGAGAAAGCCATCCCCAAGGCACCGTCTTCGACGTCGTCCACGCTGTTCCTACTACTACCCCAAATGATTCGACATTGTTGAAGAATATGTCGCGCGACATCCACCTGATCGTCTGGAAATCGCAGGGAGAATATCCCAGTTGTAAGGTTCTTGATTCTATCAAGGACTGCGCTACTGCTGCGGTCGGATTAAACGATTTGTTGACAGCGCTGCAAATGCGCTTGTCACATCACGGCAGTAAGTCACTTTACCAATGATTTCAAGATCCGGAAAAACAACTTACACTTTCCTTCAACAGTTGCGAAGACTCAAGCGTAGAAAGCCGCGCCGGTCAAAATGGAGCGAGAGACGGCGGAGTCGGAGTAACGTCCGGGACTCTGATAACATTAGGCCGTTGGTAGCATTGGCTCTACCAGTACGATGATCTTCGCATCAGGCGTTCTAGAGTGGGGAGATTGGAGTTATCAGGACGGAGATGGGTCATTGTCGTCGTAGAATACTGGGAGCTACGAATTAGGCTTTGCGATTAGTCGACAAGGTCTTCGCGGTACATAGCAGCATGCGATACATGTCATCCAAGTTGTCCTCATCACAAGCCGGAGTAAGTCTGGGTAAAGTTCACTTTCGCGAATGCGGATTTCCCTTAACGGAAAGTGAAGGTGAAGGTGAGATCGAAAATTTTCGTCTCCGCGCACAAACAATTTATAACGCAGCTTTGACCTTTGCCCTTCTGCTTCTTACTCTCTACTTCCACACCCCAAGCACCTATTCGACGACAAAAAGATGGCCTCTATCTACGACAAGCTGGCTCAAGCCAAGTACGAAGAGAAGCTCAAGGCTACCATCCTCGGTGAGTTGATTAGTTCATCATGCTACTCCACGTCTGACATTTCAACAGCCCTCGCGAAAATCGTCTACAGCCAGAATGAACCCGCGGACATAACGTTTGACGTTACGACTGGCTTCGAGCTTGACTCTGACTCTGACGAGAAGACCGACATGCTCGCCTGGGTCGTCTCCTACGCCAAAAAAGATGGCGGCAAACTGGACTGGGAGGCTCTCCTACAGTCGAAGCGATGCTCCAGCATAGAGGATACCTACCAGTCGCTGATTCAAGCCCTACGCGTCAAGATGACTGATTTGGTGGGTTAGTGATTTCGTTCGAAAACCAGATTTGATGTAAGAACACGACTTACTGACTATATACAGCGGTTAGAGACTCGCCTTTTATGGGATTGGCGGATGATTTGTGCACCGACTAGTCAGATCACGGAGGCCGCTGCCACAAGTTGCTACATCGCTTACGAGGACTCACCAAGAGTGCGCCTTCCTATGAGGGTGCACTGCAGGTGAACTGATGAGCATAGCAGGGAAGGCGGGAAATAGCCCATGTCACCCAGTGCGACATCGGTTCCACACCAACACTGCTTGAGCTACTAGATAGTCTCATGCCTATGAAATGAAGGAACCTTGAAATGGTCTTTAACTCTCTAAAGCCTCTCAAATGTGAACATGACCAATCATGGACGGCTACAACCAAGATTATTCAACACAACGACAAGATGGTCACAGCGGAGTAGAGCTGATCATGGGTTTCGAGAGGCTAGAGACAATATACGGGGTATGATAAACGCAGTTCACTTTCGCACCCTTGTTTGTACGTCGACTTCGCTGCTACTCACAGACTCCCATGATGCATATATCGCTCAAATGCCAGCCTCACGATTGTTGGCTACAAAAGGAGGACAAGTGAACACGTGACAGGCTCTACATCGCCGTCCCTTGAACATCCTTCAATATAATGCTAATGTATTGCAGAAAAGATACATGAAATGCCCGTGCTTTGCACAGTATAAAAGAATGCTTCTGCCACACATCTCCACCATTTCTACATTCCACTCCTGCACCACAATACCACCGATCAAACCCAGTGTTAGTTCAGCACACACTTCAACACCATGGCTAGGATGTCCAAGTACGAGACCCTCATGTGGCAGAAAGAAATGAGAAAGCAGATCATCGGTAAGTGCTCTTCGTCCTTGGGGTATCTAACGGTTAACGCTAACTCCTACAGTTCACATCTGCTTCGTGTTCGCGTGCCTCTTCCCACGCGGCGTAGTCTTCAACCTCATCCTCTTCGGACAGCCTGGCGCTTATGGCATCCGTATCAACTGGAAGATGGGATCGGAGAGCACCTGTTGGAGTCTGTTGATGGCAACCGGCCTCAAGCTCACTATCAGCAAGAGCTTGGAGTCTCTTTTGAAGCATCTGCGTAGGCAATCGAAGCAGTGTACGTTCAATACATTGCGATCCAATTCATCTTACTGTGCAACGCTAATCCTTGGGTTCTCATACGCAGATCTCCGGAACGCCGTGTTCACTTCGCCTGACTTCGCTCGCCGTAACTACTTAGCGGCTCATAGCGAAGCTGTCGATGGCTACTTCAATCGCGAGAAGCTGGAGGAGGAGCACAGGAAGTCGCTGGAGGACTCGAAGAAGGCTGAGGAGCGATCCAAGGTTTCGGCGGAATTGATCCACTCAATGTACATGTAGATGTCACGTACCTGACTCTACTGCACGAAGCGACAACGTCGACATAGCCTACTTTTCAATCTTCTTCGAGGGGATCGCTGGCCTGATGAGGATCGCTCGGAGTATGGAACCCGTGTCATTGCTTGCGCTACTAGATAGCCTCCAAGCCATTGAATGAAGCAACGATCTTCAACTCTTCAACTTGTCTCTCGCGTGAATGTCTTGTCGGTATCAACACCAACAAAAGCCCAGGTTTCCGTACTGTTGCGGTCCTTTGTACTCTCATGGCTTCATCTTAGATGCCATACGAAAGAAAAACCAGGTCGAAGACGCGGCTTTCGTGGCGCGCTTCGGTACACCCACTGTGGCGAAGTCCGCAAGAGCCGCGAATACGAGAAGAGAGAGAATACGAGGAAGAGAAGTAACACGAAAACGGCTGTTGATCAAATCTTAACAAAACATAAATATGGTATCATCCTAGGCAATTCCGTCTTTCTCATTCATCCTTCGTTCACTTCCTTCCAATACTCGTCATGTTGCGTTACCTCACCCTCGCATCACCCGCTCTCGCAAGCGCAGCCGCAACACCACCCGCACCATTCTGTCGCACAACCCCCTCCGACGCATCATGGCCCACACCCGCAGAATGGTCCTCCCTAAACACCACAATCAGCGGCTCCCTAATCCGCACCGTACCCGTCGCAGCATCCTGCTGGCCATCCACCAACAACACCTTCACCTCCCCTCTATCCTGCCAAGAAGTCAACGACAACTGGTCGAACGGGACCTGGCATTCGCAACAGCCTGAATCAATCGACTACCAGCTCTATGCGAATAACTCTTGTTTGCCAGATGAAGTAGGGAGTTGGTCGGAGAAACAGGGGTGTAGTATTGGGGGTTTGCCGCAGTATATTGTTAATGCGACGGAGGAGGTTGATGTGGCGATTGCGATGAAGTGGGCTGCGGAGAGGAATGTGAGGATTGTGGTTAAGGGGACGGGTCATGATCTCAACGGCCGGTGAGTCCTCAGTTTTCAAAGATGACTTAGGGATGGAAAGCTGACATTACCTCCATAGATCAAGCGGCGCTTTCTCCCTCTCAATCTGGACGCGCAACTTCCGCCACCTAACTCGCGACAAAGCCTGGCGAATCGCCAACAGCTCTTCGCCCGCAGAAGACGTCTTCATCGTCGGCAGCGGCCAACAGTGGGGTAACGTCCTCTCCTTCGCGACGAGTCAAGGCCGGGTTGTGACGACAGGGCAGGACCCCAGTGTGGGTTTGGGAGGCTATATCCAAGGCGGTGGTCATGGCCCGTTGGCTTCCACTTACGGTCTGGCATCGAGCCAGGTCCTCCAAATGACCGTCGTAACAACAACCGGACATGTGCTTGTCGCCAATGAAGTTCAGAACCAAGATCTCTTCTGGGCACTGCGTGGCGGTGGTGCAGGACAATATGGTGTGGTCACCGAGTATGTGATCAAGCACTACCCAGCTCCGCGTAACGTCGTCATGGCAAGTGTCCAGATCAAGCCGAAAGGTAGCTCGAACGCCAGTATGGAAGCGTCGTGGTCGGCAGTAGCCAGTTGGCTCAGTGCGCTACCCGACCTCATGGACGCTGGACTTGCAGGCGCTGCAACGGTAGCAGTGGGGAGTACGGCACCGAAGTTCTTCCCTGATATCGACGTTTCGAACGGCCCGTTCACTGGTATCGGTCTCAACCAAGTCTTCTGGGCTTTCAACACCACGCCCGCTGCTGTCGAAGCGCTTGTGCAACCCATCTTGACAAACCTCCTCCTTCAGTCCAGCACCAATACAAGCACCACCGGCAACGACAGCTCTCTCGTCTCGACTTCAATGTCGACATCAACCCACGCCACCTACCCCTCCTTCTTCACCACCATATCCGGCGACAACGTCGCCGGCGGCGAATCCCTCACCTCATCCCGTCTCCTCGGCCGCGCCGAACTCGTCTCCACCCCGCACTCGCAAGTCATCTCATATCTGAAAACCGCAATGGCAAGTCAAAACACCACAAACCCAGGAAACTACGCCACCATCGGCCTCTCAGGCGGTCCCGGCGTGCACTCCACCCCCTCCAAACACTGGGGCGCCTTACACCCCAGCTGGCGCACCGCGTACCTTCATTTCATCGCCACGGGCGCTACTATTGATTCGCGTGCCGCGGGGAGTGCGAAGCGCGCACTGGAGATAGGATCGGCGTGGCATGCGGTTGTCAAAGAGCCGATGTGGGAGGAGTGGGCGCCGGGGTCGGGGGCGTATATGAATGAGGCGAATCCGTATGTTGAGGGTTTCCAGAAAGTGTTTTATGGGGATGGGTATGAGAGGTTAGTGGAGGTGAAGAGGAAGTATGATCCGAGTGGGAGTTTGTTTGTGTTGGCGGGGGTGGGGACGGAGGGGTGGGAGTATGATCTTGATAGTGGGAGGTTGTGTAGGGTTTAGAGGGGGGGGTGGTATGGTGGATGGCGGGGTGGGGTGAAGTTGGTAGATTGGATGCGCTCTGGATGCGATGTAGAATAGATAGTGCACTTTGGTTTCTTGATGGCCAGTGACAATATAGCAGGTACATGTGGCACCGTTGACAGTATCCGGCTTTCATTTGTTGTGTTACGCGTCTGAAGCAAGACGGTGGGTCGTACTTGGCATTACAGTGGGGCGTATCGCTACAAGGCGGTCTGTGACAGGAGGTCAGCTATTGTGGAAGAAAGCAATATGGTTTGGAGAAGGCGCGATCCTCAGAGAGATGAAGAATTTCGTGAAATGTGACTGAATTAATTGTGTCAATTGGGTACTGCAGATAGCTCATCATCCTATGATCCCATTTTCCCTACCGCCGCTCCCGTCCTAGTATGAGCCAATTCGATATGGCGCCCGGCGTCCTTTTAGAACCCGGAAGAGAGTCTCGTATATCGATCTCGTGTGTCGTACGTGATTCGTTTACTGGCCGACCTTCTTGGTCTCCTCCTGCAGCTCCTTGATTTGCTGCTTGGTGTCCTTGCCAGTCTCGGAACGATCCGCCTTGACCTATACTCTCCGTTAGCCAATGCCCTCATAACGATGTTCTTCCATCTTCCTGATAAGGTAGATCCAACTTACAGCGCTCTCGCTGTCACTGGCAAGCTGCTCCTCCCAGTGTTGCTTGCCGTCCTTTTTCTTGTTGAGCTGCTCCTGCTTCTTCTTCTCGACCTCCTCGGCGCGGTTCTCAGAGTCTGTTCGCTTATGTCAGCTCGGTTCCTTCCCGTTGTAAGATATTGGCACGCATGCAATGCTGTGATTGTTGGCGCTAAGCCGAGGTTGGCGGTGCGGACGTACGGAGAGCCGACTCCTTGCCAGCGGTGCGGGCTATTGACTGGGAGAAAGCGGCACGCTGAGCAAAGGCAAAGGGAGCGCGACGAGTCGCGAAGGCACGGATGGCGGACATGGCTGGTTTCGGGGGTGTTTATGTGGAGGGAAGTTTGCGGGGTTTCGGCGGTATAGCTCGGGGCTTCTAGCTTTGGGTATGTTTCGGTGTGTTTGTGTAGCTTGACAGGAGGAGAGAAGGTCAATTGAGTCGATGGAGTATCTCAGTAGTATGGAAAGAGCTTGCAAACTTGGCAGATGGACGCTTCAGAAGGAAAGGTTGGTATGCTGGAGAAAACACACGTTCCTCGGTTAGTGGACGTGACTAGCTCCAGCACACGACGTCATACTTTCCCCGGCCGGCAATCACCATTACGAACATTGGCCGATTCCTGTCAGCCACTCGACGGAGCCTCATTAGTCATGCCTTTGCGACAACTAACTCAGGTCTAGATCTGCAGAGGCTCTTGTCGATATGCAGGCCGCCCAATTCCAGCATAACGTACCAGTAGCCATCTGGAGCTTGTAGTGTCAGCTGCTCAAATGCCACCTGGCACAAAACAAAGCATCGGTTACGCATCAGCTCTTGCTCCTGGCCATGGCGTCGCGGGCCCCGGCCTCTGCCTGTTTGTCTTGTCACTCGTGCCTGGGTATGCCAACGCGACGATGGAGATGCACAGACCAAGACACGCGAATGCAATGGACCCACTTACACGTCGCAATTGCCATGATGAACGTCGACTCCGATTGCGATGTCGAACCCAGGCCTAGCGAGATGCCATAGGCAATCACAGTTTTAATGAGACTTGCAGCTACTCCTTGCTGTCCGGCAAGAACCGCATTGGATAATACCAGAGTCGCGGCTGGAAATTGTTGATAGGGGACACCATGACTGGTGTCATGGTAAACGAGGTCTCCGCCGGTGCATGAGTAAGCCTGTCGATATCAAAGCCATGGGATCAAACACAATGCGAAGCGAGAAGTATACCACGTCCAGCACAGGCGAGGAAGGAGGGCATCTTCTCCAACCGGACCGCAAAACGAGATGGCATACCCAAGTCAGTACCTCGCGAAATCAATGGTGAGAATACAGTTGTAGCCGTAGATATCTCTGAGACGACCAGAGAAGAGGATGGATGTGCTTGTAGTCAGGCTAAGATCTGCGATGAGCCAGGCTACTGCGTTTTGGTCTGCGATGCGAAAGTCATCTCCTATGATATGTGTAGAGGAGAAGAGTGGACCGGTACCGGCTTCTACGTCATCGGTAGAAAGAAGATGGCTTGGAACTGTGATGGCTTTGTTACGAGCAGAAAGACGAGGAAGTACGGGCATGCGGTCACCTACTGTCACAACGGCAGCGATCCCTTCGAAGAGCGATGTCCTCTCCACAATCACCACTGAGGTCTCTAGGTCCTTCTTTTTGTCTTTTTCTCGTCCTGTGATACATTTTCTTCTTCGTATCCGCTGTCAGGTGCGTCGTGGTGTTGGGTGGGTGGAGCGTTAGAAGCTGCAGGTAACGACAGTACAAGCAGTGACTGCAATGACAACGAAAGCCCCCAAGTAAGCCCCGGCAATATCAGGGGATTAGTGTTGGACAAGGGACAGTAGTACGACCCGACCCCTAATAAGACGAACCAAGCTTACTACTACTACATTAGAAGGCTTGTCTCCGGTGACGGCATCTTTCATACCTACACCACGGCAACTACCACGTATACTACGAGTATATCCCAAGCAGATCTCCACAAGATGCTATCGTAATGTTGATAGTAGATATGCTTCATAGAAAGATCCCAAGGTTTAGGATGCTCTATTTAAATTTCTCAATAGTTGCTTGCCCCCCGTCCCAGTACCTCATTTCTATCGACCAACTATATCTACCACCGAACTCGCCACTCCCCTCCTCAGCCTCATCTCCAACACCATCAACAAAAACAAACAAGCAATCAATACACTCAATCAAACTCTTGCCACACCGCGCTCCGACCTACCCTTATCATCCAACCACACATCTCGAACGACACCAGGGCAGCGGTGCACTACTACTAGCATCTAGTCTAGAACCTACACTTTATCGTACCAAACACACCTGATCATGATCGACTAGCATTGGACAGGCTAACAAGCTACCCAGCTAACCTGCCGGTCAACGCGCTCCTCGTGACAACTTCCCAAACTACGCCAGGGACTTGCTCTAAGTTTTACCTATCACTCATCTGGCCTACCCGCACCACCGCATCACTCACGCCACCCAAGCAAGACTACGGGGCTACGAATCGGCATAGCTTCCCCCCTTGAAAACTAGCCTGCATCCAGTGATCTTAGTCAGACTAGCATCGAGTCGGAAGTCCGGGGGGGAAAGAGCCTAGCCTGGTACCTGAATGGACCGCTGAGAAAGAGCTGAGCTGACGGGGTGTGAAGGGGAGCTGGGGCCCGCGGCGTGGCATTGGCGTGCGGGGTTGATAACGATCTTATCTCGAGTTATCCAGCTCGGTACTATGCGAACATGCTCGGTACCATACTGATAGCGATTTCAAGAAAAGGTGCTTCAAGTCAAAGTTCACGATATACAACAATAGTGGATGATGATGATTTGAACAAAGATTGCGTAGATTCCATTCCTAGGATATGTCACTGCCCCCGAAAACTCCTAGGAGCATCGAGGCGTGTAGATATAAGGTAAGAGAGAGAACAGAGCTCTCATCTCATCTAAGGAGAGAGAGAGTTATCGCATGATAGCGAAAATAAGGAAAAAGACGACATCCAAGAAAGAAAGATCAATCGCAAACCACACGACCCACGCCTACTCCTTTGGGGGTGTTGTTGTCGTCGTATAAATCCTCGTACAGTTGGAAAAGCAAAAACAAGACCAAAAGATGAGAAGAGAGAGAAGAGAGAGAGCAACACCGACGGAAAAGCGAATTCCAGCGCCCAATGACTGCGTAGAATCATCCCAGCGTCGTCCGTACAACAAACAACTACTGCCAAACAAAGAGTAGTGGTTTGTGACAATGCGAAGAGGAACCCAAAAGATAACACCACCGATTGATGACTCCCACAACATGTACGCTCAGACACCGTCGCTTTCGCAAGATAGGCGCCCAACAAATGGTATATACCGACCGCTTGAAACCCGAGAGAGAGAGATAAGCCAACCGCACATAGGAAATCTACCCTTTGTAATGGCCAACGTCGACGAGACGCAGCCGGGCAACAAAGATACAGAAACACCGTTCTGTAACCAACAAGTTTTTCCAATAGGAATAGCCAGAAATGCGAGACCCAGAAACACCGTTATGTGCAAACCGCCGTTAATGCGTTAGCGCTTGTAAAGCAAGGACCAAAGCGCTCTATCCGGAAATGATGTGTTTTTCGCTATAATTGCAACGCCGTTGCCCCGTTCAAGTGGTATACCCAAGATGTCGAAGAAGATATCGTGATTTATACAGGGAGAGCCGGTGGATATCGAGAAGAAGAGGATTAGATCCAGGTAGCCACTAGCCTAGCAACACAGACGCCGCAATGTTGACCGAATAAAGACGCTCGGCCGCGTGCCTGCAAGACTTTACCAGCGTCGCGACATGAACTGTTGCTGCATCTGTCGGTTGGGAGAGACAGAGGGAGGTGGGCTAGCAACAGCGCGTGTCGAGGGGTCGACGATGGGGATGGCATTGCGTGTGCGCTGGGCTAGCGGCTGGTGCAGCTTGGTTTGCGAGTTGTTCTGTTGGAATCCGACGGGGGTGTACGGGTTGGGAGCCGAGGACAGGACAAACGAGGGGGTAGGCTGCAGCTGGTGCTGAAGCGGCGACTGTTCAGGCGAGCCGCTCGATAGCGACGAGCGGTCTGAGCCGGACGAGTGGATGGATTGCAACTGTTCATCGAGTGTCAGCGCCAGTTCAGGCGGAGTCGACGACATGGGCGGGTGGCAAATATTGGCGACTTACATCATCCTCAGTGAGCAGGTGGAAGGGGCAGAACATCTCGTCGTCCTCGATGTCGAATGAGCGGGCGGCCTCGAAGTCGCGCTTGTATGCGATGAGGGTGGGGGGCTCGACGTTGAACTCCTTGGGGGTGCGGACTTGGCGGAACTGCTTGTTGTGCTGCTGGGCCGAGATCCGGGGCGCCCTCCGCGATCGGCCGCCGTGGTGGTTGTGGGTGTGGGCGTTGAGGTGCTGGGGGTGGTGCTGCTGGGCACCGTAGTTGAAGAATTGCGACATGTTGGCGGTGGTGGTTTGTGGTGGTGTTGGTTGGGATGACTGTTGGGCGGGGAGGGGTTGTGTTGTAAGCCAGGCAGCGCGACCACAACAAAGGCGAAACAAAGGGGTATAGCTCGGAAAGCGGCGGGTAGCGGTGGTGCAAGATGCAGCTGCGGTGTGCGAGATGGATGCGGGTGGTTTTAGTTATTAACTACGGGTATTGCGATGCGAGGCTGAGAAGATGTGGTGAGAGATGCGGTGCAGAAGTGCGAGGAGCAGGAGGAGCGAAAGGGCTGGAGATGAACAGGCTGGGTCAAACGAGATGTGTGGTGTCCGAGTGCCTCGATTTTAGTGCGAGGCCCGCCTGATTGGCTCGCAGCCCTGCTAGTTCGCCACTCCAGCGCCCCCTTGGACTCGAAGCGCTCTAGCGCCGCAGGGATTAGCCGTTAGCGCCCTGTGCACGCTTCTGCGCTGCGAGGTCAGAGACGCCGCCAGGTGTGCGCAGACGGATCGCCTCCCGGGCCAGCGCCCTCATCCCTCCTGCCTCGAGCATCGAGGCAGCTTGGTTCAATAGTCGGCCACGCCTATCGCGCACTCCTAGTCCACCTAATCGATAGACTTGAGATAAACTCAGATGAGGATGCGCGCAAAAGTAAATCCCGGGCGGCGGCGCATCGTCAAACAGCCCTTATGCGACACATGACGCTAGGAGCTGCCAGCCCAGCGAGGCTGTGAGCTGGCTGGCAAGTGACCACCCACCGTCTTCTGCGCCCTGACCGCTTCTTCCGCACCTCTACCGCCGTCGCCAGGGGAATGCAGCCTGCCCATCCGAGCCACTGCCACCACCGCCTGTCCCCTCGAGGCCGCCCTCCAGAAGCCTCCGGGACTTGCACTTGCGATGCGGCCGCCCTTGCCGACGACTGAACGCTAACGCACCTGTGCCTGCGACGGCCAGCAGCAGCTTGACACCGTGGTTGAGCCCATGCCAGGATTCGCTCGTGGCCGCCGAGTCCCTGCCGACGGCGCCTGCCAATCCCTACCATTACGACGCACTGCCCATGTTCTGGAATGCCAGCTCAAGCACCCGCCTGTCCATGAATCTGTTGAGACCACGACCACCTGCTGACCAGCGCGACACCATGCGAACATCTGCCTCTGGTCCACGCCGTTGCACCTCCGATGCCAGCGTCTAAACGCCGACGGCCATGCGAGACGTTTTCCACCCGTCAGTGTTTCCGAACACGCCCGGGCTTCATCTCGTGTGACGTCCCGACGGCTGGGATACCGCGCCCTGGCCAATGGGACGCCGCCACTAGCTGAGACCAAAATAGCGCAATGTCTTCGTTCTGCCCGGCCCGGACGCTCGACGGCCTGTCCAGTGATCGACGGCCTTAGGCAGGCTGTCGTCACTCCATCTTGGTGTCATGTCGTCGTGACGGTCGTGTTATGGGTACTCCATGACGGGCATCGCGACCTCTCCATCGGACCCTGACCTGACCATCGTGAAGTGCCGTGACGTCCATCACTCGCAAACATTTCTGCGACGGGCCAAGCTTTCTCGCATGAAGAGCCACTTCAGCTCGAAACACGCTCATTTGATCGTCTCTCTACCCTGTGAAATGCGCAACTCGACGCGAGCGTATTAATTTATATGAAAGCAGGCGAAGTGCATGTATTGGATGCATAAGTGATGTCGATGAAAAATCCTACTGTGAGGCTGCTTACTGCTTAAAGTGCTGACCACCCCGATAAGCTCGCCGACAGGGTGGCCGCAGCTCGTGGTGGCACAGCGGAGTGATACCTGGGGAAGCCCTATGCTGCGGCGGGTGGCGCATGGCCGCTGTGATTGACAAGCAATGCATGTCCGCGAAGCCGTTTCGTCTGGCACCAGGTCGTCGGAAACACAACGGTCGAATGTTTGCGTACTCGAGAAAGAGCTAAACGCGTCACCTGTTACGTTGGACGTAGAGCTGAATAATATATGTGAGCAAGTAAAGCAAAGTCTTCATTAGTGTTGAAAGAATTAAACATGTCAAGTTTATCCTGCGGAAAGCTACAAATAAAAAATAGACCTGCACGCGTGTGTTGAGCTTGTTGGCTGTACGGGATTCATACACTGCTCATAATACCGTCGAGCTGCCAATACTCAAACCCCACTCATCAATCTCCACAGATACCCCTTCGAGCCAAGCCAAAATCTACTTGTCCAAACCCCTTGCCTTGACAAACTTCGCAATCTGGTCTTTGCACGTCTTATCGGTATACGTCTCCCAGACTTCATACAATGATATCAGCTCCTGCGTGCACTCAACAACAGCCTCGATATCCACACTGCTCTCAGCAAGCCAGTCGACAAGTTTCTGTATTCTCGCCTGCATGCCTTGCCCACCGCGTGCATTGCCCAGCGTCTGGAGGGCGTTGTTCATCCCCGCCGCATTGACTTGCGAGCCGATGGGCTTCAGAACGACCGCCAAGAACATCGCTGTGATGGCGATGACATGTGGTGCGTGAAGAAGCGGAAGATCTGTGAGATAGTGATCGTTTATGATGGACCATGCTAAAGCATTCTCTTCTTGCGTCAGTTGGAACTGGGTCTGCAGTTCCGCAAGGCTGCGGTATGGGTGGTGGAGAATTAGTTGCGAGTTCATCTCGGAGATGAGCGTGAATTCGCACTCGCCAATCTTAGAGACGTCGTTGAAGGATGTGTCTGGAACCTGTTAGGATTGTTTGGTTGATGTGCATGTGATGACTTACCCCAGCAATGCCGTGCTTCTGCCAGTACCATTCTGATGTGCTGCGGGCATTCCTCCATCTTACACGCTAGGTACAACGCCGTTGCCAGCACGAGCGCTGGGTTTGTCCTTCGGATTTCCACCTTGGCGTAGAAGCGTCGGACGTATACCTGAGCAGTAGCCAGAGCTTGCTGTCGAATTCCCAGTGGTCTTGCCATTTTAGACAATTCTAATAAATGTCAGCATGAACCCGAATCACCAGGTCACGTTACTGACGATGCGAAAAGTAAATGCTCAGATGCCGCCGATCTGGTAAAGGATATAGGTTGACCAAGTTCCTCTCTGCATCTTCCATTCTCTTTCGTTCAAGTGCCAGCTCTTGCTTTGTGAAAGTCCAGAACTTCCGCTGGGTTGACTCCCAGTAACTAGACGACATGACGGCGACCGCGATACAAGAAATTATACTGTGAAGCTGAAATTACTGATTTGCTCAAGCGACTGTTTGATGGAGTCGTATGCCCTTCGAGTGGTGCGATAACCCTGTCGGATGTCTTCTCAACAGTGAACGCGATTTCGTCAGGCTGATGATAGTTTGATAGTACGGACGCCAGTGAACCAGTAGGCCGGGTACACGGCGACAGAAAACGAATCTCTCAACGCATTATCGGATGATGATCGATATGAAGTGAGTGCGCGATGTGAAGCGTAGAAGGGGGTGTCGGGGTTCAGACGCGGTGTCCAATCAGATGCGAGCGAATGTTAGGCTCCTGTCGTGGCTTCCCTCGGTGTTGCGGCATGGGAAGCTAGCCTCTTTCAGCCGCCCTCTCCAAGCTTTGAGACTGACCTCATACCCCACGTCGAAGCCTATACGAGCCCGTGTCCCTCCCAGCCAGCCATTCCTCTCGCAATTCACCTCGCCCGGTGCCGATAGTCGCCCTCCCGTGTGTGTCGCGACCCTCAGCCATGATAGACCGGAGATAGCAGGACGACAATGGACACACAGAGCGCAAGCGTTGCCGACGGCAGGGTGGACGAACTATGGGCAACTCTCGACACGCGCAAACAGGGCCATCTTGACCTCGCAGGCCTCAAAAAGGGGCTGCGGAAGCTGGATCATCGTAAGGGAGCATGTTGCGCGCAGACTTCAGGCCGCTAACCCGACATTGTAGCCTTGAAAAATGCGGACCAGCTCCTGGACGAGGTGATGCAGGCTGTAGATACCGATGGGAATGGAAGGATCACATACCAAGGTGGGTACGTTCTCTCTACCCGAATTACACGTATACTGACGCGATTCCAGAATTCCGCAAATTCGTACACGAAACCGAAAAGGAGCTTCAGCACCTGTTCCAGACCATCGACTACAACCACGACGGCAAGATCTCCAAGGACGAGCTGCGCTCAGCTTTGCGAACGGCCGGCCTCACAGTGCCCAACAGTAATCTCGACAAGTTCTTTACAGAAGTGGACACCAACAATGATGGGACCATCAGTTTTGAAGAATGGCGGTATGTACCCAGTCAGTTTGCGGTCGTCACAACGGGTGGAATTGGAGTGGCATCTCACACGGTGGAAGCGCAAACCGACTGAGACCATTGTCGTTTGGCCTAAAACCGCGACAAGATCTCGAGATGTGTTGCATGGGTGTTGCATTGAGGACTTTCGTGAATCTTACTGACTATGATTAGGGACTTTCTTCTATTCATTCCGGTCAGCGCACCATCCCTCGGCGCCGTAATGTCGTACTTTTCCGCCACCATGAAAGTAAACCAGGAAGGCGACGTTGCCATTAGTGACGACACAATCCAAGGCCTAGGTACTACACAGCGTTTTCTTCGTTTTTTCTTTGGTTCCCTTTTCATTGTAGCGCACACACCGCCCTACAATCCCCTTCCGCCAGAGCCCAGCGCGCCGCTCGACATGGCTTCATCTACTTCGACACTTGCCTACCAAGGTACCCTCCCGCCACGGTCTGCACACGAGACGAGCAGCGCTCCTCTCGAAGAGATACGGGCAGGACTTATAGAGAGCTTAGGAACCATGCTGATTGCTTGTGTTCCCAATCCAGGCTATTTCGTGGCGGGAGGCGTTGCAGGCATTGTTTCTCGCACCTCCACTGCTCCGCTCGATCGTTTGAAAGTCTACCTCATCGCCCAGACCAATGTTGCGGAAGAAGCTGTCGTTGCCGCCAAGCATGGCAACATTGTCAAAGCTGCCATGAATGCTTGGAGGCCACTTGCGACCGCCACCAAGGAGCTCTGGCAGGCTGGCGGTATGCGCAGTTTGTAC